TAATAAAATTAATGACGAAAAAATTGATTTATTTGAAATGATTACAATATTTTCAACTTTTTAATATATATAATTATTTAAGTAATTCCCATTCATCACAATAAAAAGTCTTGTTGGAAAAATTTAAAAAAGACTTGTTATTTTTAATTAATGATTAAAATGTTCTCAATAATTGGATATGTAATGGCATTGAGAGTGTAATTTTCATCAAATTAGAAATTTTTATTAGAAAAAAGAAATTTAAATTTTATTTCATTTGATCTTACTACTACTATAAATCTGGAAATGGAAATAATATTGACACTGCTAAACAAAAATAATAACAATAACACTTATTTTTCAAATAAATTAATTAAAAGTAGAGTATTTTCATCTATACTTTCTTGTATTTATCATAGATAATATTAATTTTTAGTTAATTGAACGAAAACTATTTTATTGTGGTTATGTGTAATTAAGTAGAGTAATAATGTCACATAATAGTACTAATTAGAAATGATAATAATAGTGCTAAACACAAACAACCGTAATTAATCTGTATAACTAATTTTATTTTCGTTTTTCGCTTAGATCTCTGAACTTTTCAGAATTGATAACAAGCATTATTTATTACTAAATACCCTAAATTTTATTAATTTCTTTCACTTCAGTTACTTATTAAATGACAACAAATATTAATATCACTGTTCATTGTCAATCAAATGCTAAAAAACATTCGAGAAGATAAGATCTGTAGTCTCATTTATACTTTATACATATTTTTAAAGTGAAAATGTTCATGTCCACGCACTGAAATCTAAGAATGCGATAGAACAAATATCAAAACAATAAAATTTTTATGCTTGTGCTAATAACTATAGTATCCATTTAAGGTATTTGAGTTCCAATTTGAGTTCATGGCTTTTCTTTAAAAAAAACCTGCTAGGAAACTACTGTGGTCAATAAAACATGCCTAAAAAATGATTGAAATAGAAAAAGTTTAATAAAAAATAGCAATAGAGCAAAAAATGCAACAGCAAAGATAGCATCGAATTTAGCGATGAAAGTGAGTGCAAGAAAAAATGAAATGATTAAACTTCTATAAGAAACAAATTATTCATTAGCTTTGTCACCAATTTTAACGATCAATAACTTGACTTTACTCGTACGTAAGTAGTACTGCAAAGTATAATAAATTACAATTTCAATAAGTCTAAAATTTCTTGATGAAAACTTTACATTTTGCATGTAATGGAAATAAAATTCAAATGTTTACTTAGTAGCGAAAGATAATGCAATCATTTTTTATCGAATGTATAAATTTTTTCTGACTTGAAAATAATTCCAGTAAAATTACACAAATATCAGCAAAGCAAACTCATAATTGAAATGTATAAAATATTTCAGATTATTTCACGTTTTGCAGTTACAAAACTTAATCGAAAACTAAAAATTAATAATGAAATTTGAGTGAATTCTGTATATTGCAAATAAATCTGGTGCAAGAAAAAAGAAAAATTTGAAAAGAATGAAAGGCGAAAATTTGCATAATCTTATGAAAGCAAATCAGTATAATAGCATGCATACAAGAATCATAATTATTCGCAAACTAATATTATGGATTGAAATGAAATACTAAAATTATTTTGCATTATGCAATAAAGGCATAAACATTCAATTCCCATAAATTGCTCAATTAATTTTCTTCATAACTATTTTGCAAAAGAAATATTTTAGAATTCGATACTAAAAATCAAGTTAAATTCACTGACTCAAATAAATAATCTGACGTATAATTTAATCTCAAATTTGATTACAAATTTAGTTAAATTGCAAAAATTTTCTTATTTTTACACAATAAAAACGAATTTTAAATGAATCTGCTAAAAATTTTTAGCAGGTAAATCAATAAATGCTTTGGAAAAATAAAGTATAAATCAATGACTGACAAGAAATGAATTTTTGAGTTAAAAAGTTTAAAAAATATTATATTCATGACAAAAATAATCCACAAAAATTTCATCTAAATACTGTTATTTGTAAATTCGGACGTGATATAATAATATACACGCACTTTATACACACACGCAAACGCATGCAATCTTCGCCAGGAAAAATTGTGCTCGCGCTGACTAAAACTTTCTTTAATGAGGCTTAGTATTGATTGAATTTATCTTTATTTTGTTATTTCTGAATTAACATCACTGATTACTGTTTTTTGTCGTTGTATTCTATTTCTTTAAATCTTACTTTAAAAGTTATTCAAAACTTTTTGCTATTATAGAAAAATACAAAAACAAATCGATCACATGATCAAAATCAGCTTACAATTTTCAACTATTTATGAAAAGGGTGTACAGAAATATTTTAATCTATGCAAATTTTTATCTACTAAGTTTAGTCAAAGTTTTCAGTATTTGATCAGAAGAGTTCTGCAAGTACTCTTTCTACTCTCTACAGTTGGAAAGAAGAGCAAATGAATCATTTACTCCTTCCTTTTCCATCTAAAAAATAAGTGGAAATTTTGATCACAAATTAAAAGATTCAATCAGATAATGCGAAGAAAAAAAAACGAAATACAATATGCATATAGCAATGATGCTAGGAGAAATTTGTTAACGCATTTTCTTAATTTGATTAGATTAAGTGAAAAACGTGTTCGTGTTCCATCTATTATCTCGTAGATTCAGATAAAAAAGAGCAAATACAGTAGTGTAAGATTTTTCTTTCCACAATATCACCAGACCATAAAATCTCTTCTTGAAATCTCAGTGTGATTTCCTTAAATTCGACTACAACACATCTTTATATTGCAAACTTTGATCCAAAATTCAATTCGATCAGCACTTGCTCAGACATCGTGTAATTTAATGAATTTCAATACCTTTCAGTAATAATTTTTATAAGTGATGAAAAACGAAAAACATTAAATTACTTGTGCTAAAAGGTATAATTCTTCCGTATATTTATTGAACATTTGTTTGAATTCAATGGGTTTTAGCTTATCTTATCCTGAATTAAAATATGACCCCATTGCAAGAGGAAGAAAAATACAAACATATCAATAATATACTTTCACTACATAGCAGCACTATTATCATTTTTGCTGTAAATTTTTGAAATTTATTATTACTACTTCGATAAATTTCCTAAAATCGCAGTACAATAAGAAGCAGATAGTCATTGTACGCTAAACTAATACTAATCTATTACTGAATAAGTGGGAAAAATTTATTATTTATTAAATTAACATTTCTAATTTTTTTAAAATATGAAAAGATAATTTTATCAAAGGATAATACATAAATTGTAATAATAAATAAGAAGATTATATAATTTCTCTACAGATAAATCAAAACATAAAATGGAAAGTAAAGAAATTAACGCGATATGACACAAACATTGTATGAGAGAGAAGTGAATATGTTGGCTGTTTATAAATGATTAATAATAATATATCAACAATCATTCCCACTACTTTTTACATGCAACAATACACTGTCATTGTTATTGTTATTTTATTTATGTTGCCCATACATACTTGCTAATTAACTTTTTAAATTTTTTTCCCTCCAAAAAAACAAATATATAAATGTAAGTGAAAAAATAATTTGGCGAATAAATAATGCGCTTATCAAATAAGTAAATTTTGTTCAACTTAGACTTACATAATCATACAATCAAGTTAGATTTTAATTACATAAAAGATCATTCTACTGCATCGCATTGTTTGCATTAGAATGAATGCTTGATACTTTTAAAATTACTACGTGCTAGTTATTTATAGAAAAATTGTAATCATTCAATCATTAACTTGCGCAAACTTTAACCTTAATCAATAAAAAGTTTTTGAAACAGGTTCCATTCCAGGAATTTGAGGATCATTTCAACCACAAAACATCAATCCTTTGCATTACTTCTGCAATCTGAAATTACAAATTTGAGACAACAGAATATGCAACAATCGAAAAGATTAATCAGTTTGCATGTCGAAGCATGCAGTAGAAGCAGCAATAAGTGGATTCAAATTAGTTTTACTGATAGTCAACATGACTGGAAAGTGAAAATGATATCCAAATAGAGTAAGTTCAAGGTTATAAACTGTAATACTACCGAAGTTAGATATCAACCCGTCATGTGCTTGAGACAATCGTATTTTTCATTGGTATCAATGATAATTCTGTTCATATAAATGTATAGTTGCGTATCCTTACTTCCATTTCATTACAGTTTTGACAAAATGAAACAAAAATTTTTAGAAACCACACTACTTTATATTTATAAAGTGTATTGGGGGGGGTAAAATCAATCACATAAAATAAGTAAAATCAATCATTATACTGGTTATACTGTTTGAAAAAACCGAAGACATGTTATAAAAATGTTATACCGATAAATGTAATGCACCATACAAATATTTGTATTTTTTTGAATAAAACTTTTCGCAAACGTTAAGAAATATAATTTAATTGATAGATATATATTCATGTCTATGAATAGGAACGATAGCAAATAAAGTACAAAAAACAACATGGAAATAATGATTTCTCTCGTATCCAGTGGTGGCAAAATATTAATTAGCTTACAGAGATTGATTCAGCCAGATACAATAAAAATAACAAATTAAAAGTAACACATGCTATTTAGAACAATGATATAATAATGAAGTGGAATAATTTCTAGAAAGGATAAATCATATAATATTGTCCGAATAAAACTAGAATAAGCAATTATTTATTCCTCGCGCAACCCTATTTTCATATAATCACAGCTATTAGAAATTTATGATTGCAAAAAAATTTCAAATTAAACGACAAAATTTCCGAAATTATTTCAAAATTTTTTATAGCAAAAACTTATTTTCTAAAATTAATTCATTTAAAAATATATTAAGACAGAAATCGTGGTCAAACTTATGTGATAATTAAATACACTGCTTTGAAAGTTCAAGTCTCCTAATATAGCGAACACAGCATCAAAATGAATATATGTAAAATTTTTTGTTCAAAATTTGTGATCATCTAAACAAAAATACTATTTGTTAAAGAGACTCGTTCATACTTTGGCGCAAAAAATTTTTTGTCTGTACCTGGTATATCCTTATACCATGGCAACACAGAAAAACCCAAAATATGAAAGTCATGAAGTTCAAACTGTTTTTTCCTTTGCGAATACCAGTAATCAAAATTACCAAATATCAAATGAGGTACTCTGTATGAGTAAAGATAAGGAATAGCAACTTGTTTCGATGTTGTTTCGTAATTTTTAGCAGCCTAAAATACGTGTGATATATAAGGATATATTATGATCATGTCATAAAAATAAACTAGACAAAAATCTTACCACATTATATAAAATATTTTTCTGATACAGCGCACAGCATGTTATCGATAATGAGTATGTGCTTGCAAAATAAACACGGAAGAAATCTTGAAGAGCTCCTAAAAGCAACAAATTACGAACTAATTTAACGTGATATTCGCGATTCCAAACATAGAAAAAAGGTTGCAGTAATATTAAGAAAAAAAATGATGCGGATTATAATAGTTGACAAAATATATTCATAAATTTTATCGCATTGTGCAACTTTTTCTCTAACTTTGAATTTTTTAGCACCTAATTTAATGAAAAAGTGCGAAGCAATTCTTTTATTTTACACTTGATTTCAGCAATGTTAATGAGACAGTTTAAATGATCGGATGTAATGTCAAAAAATAGCACAAAATTCGTGTGCATACTGCAAATGCAATTTTGAATAATCTTGTTCAAATTTTCTTCCGCTTATATAGTTTCTAGGT